CCTGAGCTCACATTACACAGCCTCTTAAAGGGGACACATCCATTTATTTTTTCTCTTAAGTCTAGCAATAAAGGTTTCTTACACCAAAAACAGCCAATTTCCATATCTCCCTCTGACCTTTACACCATGTCCTAATCATGCACAACACAACAACATTTCTTGCAGTTAAACCAGGCATGAGAGCGACAAAATATTTTTTCTACTGTATCTTTCGGACTTCTACGTTCTTTCATCCTGAAACATTTTAATGACAACTCTCTGAAGACTTTTAGCATGATAATGGATATGACAATGTTAATGTATTTGGTCTTGGTGGAATAAATCTGCTACGCTGCTGCTGTTGAATTGCTGCTGAAGAGCAAATACAGGAACTTGCTACTGCCAATACATATGCCGATACGCTGCTGCAAGCATGTAAAACATACTGCTGCTGCACAAATAGCATAAATCAATTACCCGTAGCAGATCTATACAGGTGGAGCTGGGGAGGGTGGAGGGTTTTAGACGAACTCTGAAAGCATGCAGCAAATTGCTATAGTGAATGGTAACCAGCCATTTAAATGTTGAGCAGTAAGCTCATTGGCTGCAGATGTGACATGAACCAATCAGCTTGTGCCAAGTAGTTAATGCTGTAAATATTATCAGCTGCATTAAGGACCCATCAGCCTGCGCCATCTAGAGTTTCATGACAGAGCTTGGCATTTCCATAAGGCCTATAAACCTTCAATATTTGAGACTTTTAAAACTTTTTTAAAACTTTCAAACAAGACTTTATAGCAAGTTACAGTTATTGTACACTACTGTGCAAAATATTGGTCAGAAAAAATTTCAAGTCTGTAAGATTTTTTGAAAGAAGTCTCTTAAAGGTACAATATGAAATAAAATATCCAAAAATCACTTGCACAGTGTGATATATTTCCTGCAGTTGTGTACTTACAATATCCCAAAAGTCTCCAAAAAGATTTTTTATTTCAGAGAAATTCCAATTTTAAATAAGTGGCCGTCACGGAAAAAAATGTCGCCTGTCAATGACGCAATATCCGGGCTATCCTCGGTTTCCGCTCATACTGCCATAGCCATGACGTAACCATGGCGACAGACGTGGACAACTGAGTAGTGCGTAACATTTAGCGGCACGCAGTTCTTGTTTCTTTCAAACATAGACCATGGCAAGCAGACTTTGGGACAAACAAGGAGAACTAAAATGAGGATCAATATCAGCGTGGCGTTTTTGAGATGCCGAGAGCTCCACTTCCGCGACTAACTTGGACTTGACAGAGCTTCACGAGTCACAACTTGACAGCTTTATTAGACAGGTGAGCAAATGTACATAAAACAAATCAATGTTTTATAACGTTTGCTCAACATGATGAAATGTTAGAATATGGTCAGTATGTTATTCTAATGTTGATCTAGCTCACTGCTAGTTTCGTATAGCAAACGAACTAACACGTAGTATAGCATTATAACTTTCAACACACATTTAAATGCCGTTTAGTGTGATAGTGTAACGTTAGACCGAGTGAAGCAGCGCTGCGTTACCTCACAAGTTTAATTCGTCTAATAAACTGACCTGTGTGAGTAATCCAGCACTTGCGGGTAGTTCGGTAAAATTAAATGTCCTTATTCCTTTATATCCGCGGGACTCGCGTGTGATATCTGTCTCTTTAGCAATCACGACCTGCTTCATACCACTGTAATGTTAAAAAACATGAATGTTTGCACTCATCCATGAACATTATTAGATCCATCAGCTTGACAGCAAGTCCCATCATTCAGCTCATCACTGCGTCATAAACCTACGCCTTTGTTATTGTTGGAAACTGTGCCCTCTTGTGGCGAAAAAAACCTACATATTGTGCCTTTAAGCTCACAGGGGTTGCATTTATTTGATCAAAAATACAGTACTTTGTGACTAATAAACAGTAATGTTGTGAAATATTATTACAATTTAAAATGATTTCCCCCCCCCCCCCCCATTTTAAAATGTAATTTAATTCATTTAAATGGCAATTGAATCCGGATTGCAATTCTGCATCCTGTTTGCTGCTTGAGGAAAATTTAATTAAATTAAAACTGAACAGAAGCTTTGGGTCTTGTATGTCTTCATAGTAAATCAAACTATTCCATTAAAAAAATGATGTCCAATCATTCATGTTTTCCATGATCTCCTCCTCCCACCCAGGTCCGTAGCTGAAATATCTGGTGCACATTGTTGCAATGGGTCCCCTTGAAATTGCTTTTTTTTTTGTCCGCCTCAGTCCCACCACACACATACCAATCTACAGGTATTGATGACATCACCAGAACAGACCATGCCTTCATCCCATCTGTCTACCTGACCAACATGCGGATGAAAAAGAGCCGTAGCCCCCAGCTTACTACTCGCAGGATTTAATAATCTACAGCATTGCTGTGCTTACAAAAACAGCAAAGATGAAAGAGTGGTGCGTAAAAAAAAAAGAGCAGAAAAGAGGAGTGTGTCAGTCTATGACTCAGCTGATTCGTGTGAACCTTAGGAATGTTATAAAAAGCTTCATTCGGCTTCCTGAGAGCCGCAGTGGCCAAATAAACACTTTATTACACACTGCTACACGCAGATTCACCATCTGGCCTGCGAGAGAGAGGAAGCCAAACCTGTGTGTGCCTAACACTACACTGCTATCTTTGCTTCCTCACACACACACACACACACACACACACCTTACAACAGGGCCGTCAGAACAATCTGAAATGAGAGGGTGGAACACATTATAAACCTCAGCAACATATGAATATTAATTAGATAAGGTAAAGTTCGGTCAATAAGAGTCACTGATTTGCTAAATATGCATTTGCCTCTTCCGTTCGTTTTCACATGCCCAATTTACACTGCAAGTAAACATCGCATCAGATTCATCAGATTCTTAAATTGGCCACATGTTTTTTTGGAGATTAAAAAAAGTTCCTAATGTTATATAAAGTTCAGATCCGTGCATCAGTATCATCTGTTAAAACAGAAACAGTAAAACTGTCCTGGGGTCTTTAAACTCCTTTGCGGACCGGAAAAAGGTTCTCCAATGGCATTAATCTGTAAAAAATCTCTGTAATCTGTTAAATTGGCTCTAATTGAAAAGTTTATTTTTAAGAGTGTATCTTCAAAAATAGTATTTAGAGGTTGTTATAGGATGTTGTTTTGAAGAGGTGTAGGCTAGAGGGACCGTACTCTGTGATCTCCTCTTCCCACAGGGCCTCGGAGTCTTTGAACACCTGGCGCTAATAACCAGCCTAGTGCTGTACCCACACAACATTATCAGCCAAGCACTCAAAGGGGAATTCGCTGAGAATGAACTGCGCCCACTGATAGCGTCATTTATTTGCACATGCTGTCTGCGCTGTTTTAGCACCTGAATCACTAAAGGAATTATGCAAATCAGTTAACGGCACAAACACAGACAAAAAATATATAGCGGAACACAATTTGCACAGCACAATTCCCTTTCTTTCAGGCTGGTTCTGAGCGCTGAAATGCTGAAAAAGTCTTGATATACCCATGGCAAAACTAATTTTTTTCTGACCAAAATATATTTCAAATATTCACTCAATGTCTGTCAGCAAACAGTCTGGCTTTAGGAAATATAATTAAAAAATAATAATAACTCCAATGCCCAAATATATATTACAAAACTGATAAACTTGCCCTTAAAGGAGCAATAAAGTACATTTTCAATCTTAAAATATATTGTGAGTAAATGCAAAATATTTTTTTATATATATTTTGGACAATATAAATATATTTTGACTGAAAATGTCTTAAAAATATGCACATTTGTGCAAATATATTTTAAAATCTTGTCTTCTTTTTTTGTATATTTAAAAAAGAAAATTATATATATATATATTGACTGAAAATGGCTTAAAAATATAAAAAATATATTACAATCTTGTCTTGGTCCTGTTTTTGTAATATATATATATATATATACATTTATATATAAAATAAAATAAACACAAATAACTACTTTTCATTTGTATACCAGCTCAGCATTAAGTGCCAGCCAAATACAAATAAGCAATCACAAGCAATATCAAGCAATCACAAATGCAGATAGTACCTGGTTAAACTTGATTGTGGGTGGTTATTCAAGAAGACTGCTTTACCATGTGCAAAAGTTTTGAAAATGTTTTCAAAATCAAGGTTAAAACAGTAACCTTGGAATAAAATGACTTCAAGTATCAATCCTCTCAAAAAACTTCTCATCAGGTATGTGAGGATTTTCACTCAGTGTTCTGTGGCGCAGTTTGGCAAACAGAGCAATTTCACCTCCTGCACACATGCATTTTTTGGAGGGGGAAAGTCTCTTTTTTTAAAGAAATGACCTTATTCAGCATTTGTTTGTCGAGCTGTGAGATTTCTGCCTTGATGAGGCAGCAAAGTGCTTGCAGCGTGCACTGCTGAACGGAGCAATGCAGGCCGTCGTGACAAACCCTATCCAAAAACATCTGAGCACGGCTCCCTTTTCCGCCTCATTCTTTAATCATCTCGCCATGCTTGAGCAACACCTGAAACCCACGCCCAGCCTATCTCTCTTACTAGAGCTGTCTGGTTTAATTCAATCTCTTTAAAAACATCCGTCTCCATTTTCCCTTTCTAGCCACTGAGCTTGAGCTATCAACCTTAACAAGGGTATGGAACAAATGGGCGCCCATTTGCTCCATATCCTTCGTTAAGGATGATATGCCAGTTCGAGTTTTACAGTAAAGCAATTATTTTGTCTTGCACAGACGAGTTGCTGGAAGCACACAGACCTGTACGCTGGATCAAAATGAAATGGAGCGGTGAGGGAGTCGCTCGGAACCCAACGCCGGGTCTCGATCTGACAGCTCCTCTCAGCTCACCACTACCGCCCGTGGCTTCCGCTATGAACCAATACCAACAGGGACGAGTGCACAACACAGAGAGGGAGAGAGACATTTGGTGAGGTTTAAAGATCGATGTGTCTAGTGGGCCGGTTGCCTACCTTTGATATGCCTGAGGAGAGGTGGGAGGCGTGGTGAACACCTGGGAATAAGGATGATAAGGCGTCTTCTTCAGCGCCTGGATGAGATTCTGTCTGTATTCTGGGTCTATGCACCACAGGGAGCCCTTCCCGATGCTCTGTGGAGGAGGAAGAGAAATACAGACAGACGTATTTAGTCAGGACAGAAAAAGAAAAAGCAGCTAAACGTGTCAAAAGACAACAATAAAGACCAGAGCACCTGCCAGAACCGGTCAAAGATTTGCAGCTCTCCATCTTGTAGCGGAAACTGGTGTTTGCGTACTTCTACGTTCACCTTTTTGTTCAGATCAATTATTCTGGTGTGTGGATTTCAAAGTAGGAAATGTATATATGGACATCAGTTACTTCCCTGTACATCGGATCCCTTTGTTATGTTCATTTATCTCGCATCTAAAACATCAGATCATCAGGCAAAGAATGAAGTTGAATATTCAATGATAGATAGCTGAGCATACAAATATAGCATGTTTTTTTTTTTCTTTCTCTTGAAAAAGGGTCTTTCTTAAGCTTTCAAATCCTAGCAGCATTTTATGCATCAAACGTGCGCTATGGTCAAATTCTAAAGCAGCATCTCATGATGTATCTTTTGCGGATTATGGAATCCCAGAATGCATTGCGGTGAGCTCACTGAAGAAAAAAATTAATTCAACATGATGGACTGAAATGTCAATACTGTAATACTGATATAAAATATAGTATTAATGTATAATATGTAGTAAAAATTAATTCATATACTGTATATATTAAACATTTTATATATATATTATGCATATGTAATACAAATAAATTATTACGTTAATATTAAATACGAAAAATATTAATAATAAACATTAATATTATATATTTTATTGGAATCAAATTCCAAGTGTACGAGTGTTATTTGTGTGACGCAAGTCAACAAGATGCAAATGGAACTGTTTCGAGAATTATGAAGGTGCGTTCACACTTCCGATAATTTTGTTGCTGCAAATCACTTGAATACAAATACACATATTACATGGTAAAGCAAAATGTTTATTCAGTGAATTTCTGGGTTAATGGTATAAGATAAGAGTTTGTTTGGTCCAGAACAGTACGGGGAGAAATGAGAGCCTGACCACCTGCATTACCTTGACCTCCACGTTCTCCAGTTCATTAGTGAAATGGGTGGAAAAATGCATAAAAAAAGACAAAAAGTGCAAACTACAGCTAGTACAGATGCTACAGACCACTTAGACAAACTCAGCATTTTAAAAAACAGCACAGTGAGCGAACGCTCCCAGTATATAAATTAGCTGTCCTGACAGATCCTGCTGAAAACGAGGAAACAGCAAAATGTCACTTTGAAAGTGATATCAGGGGGAAATGACTTGAGCTCATTAGTACGGACTACAATCAGTGTCATGTTACTAAGCCCCATTTTTCAGTTCAAGTTATCCCTATAGTGTCAGAGATTTACACAATCAGCAAACCATGGCCACAGCGACAGAACAAAGTGTAGACTATCAGAATGCTTTTGTAAAGTGAAAGCCTTTTCCTTTTGACTCAGGCACTTCAAAGCGTTGGGCAGCGTGTGCTGTTTTGTTAGACAGACTGCGTGTTCTCAATGAATCAATAGTAATGACCTTCAGATAACTGACAGAGAGTCATACTGTGTGCCCTGGGGTAACACACACACACACACACTGGCCTGGCCTGGACGGAACGCGGTGTCACGTATACTTTGCGTAACAAACAAACTGGACGTTGCTTTTACAGGAGGTTTTGTTTGCACTGAAATTGGACGTCCCCACTGACCGCTGTTTAATACTGAGTTAATTGAGTGTTTTTTGAAGGGGACGATATATCTTTAACAAAAAGCTGCTGTGAGATTTTTTCAGCGTGAATACTAGATTCCCCCGACAAGGGCTAAGAAACGATAACACACTATTGATTGCAGCAAACCCCAAAGCGAGTGCTCGGCTCTTTACCCACAGTATTTGGCTTCAGTGGAAAGATTTGTACCAGCACAAGTCAAACAATTCAAACCCTTGGAGTGTTTTAGCAAACAAAATAAACAGCACGTTTATTGGACTCACAATTCATTTACACTCATGTCTCCATGTTTAAAAGCTTGGCCAGTAAAACTTAAGATACACAAGCAACAATAATGTATATATCTAGGATAAATTGCTATAATAATTGTGAGGGACCAAGCAATCAAGGGCAAAGAATGCAGGATTTCCAAACAAAGAAAATGATTTATTAAATGCCAAACAAAGTTACAAATTAAATTACAAAACAAAAACTGAATGAAATAAAGTCAGGTCTGGGCCCATAAAAAGGGTAAACTGAACAGAACCAAACTTAACAGTAATCAAACTAAACTAAACAAAAAACATGACCTCCCAAATGGCACACATGGGGAACTTATATACACAAAGGATTAGTCCATTACACCTACACAGGGAATAATACAAACATCACTTAACACAATTAAAATAAATAAAGTAATTAATTTCAGAAATATGAAGAAATGGGTCATAATCAAAGGAATATACCCAAAGAATTATAGTCAACAAAATATACATAGAATTATAATAAACAAACAAACATAGAATTAATCCTGATCTGTAACCAAGGTATCTGCAACAAATGTTTAATCATGAAACACTAAAAAATAACGTGTAAACAACCCAGAAAGAAGGAGGAATGCATGCATGTATGTTCTCGGTTACCGTCCTTTTGTGTGGCCCCGTCATCGGCCATCACATTAATAATATATATATATATAATACATAATATTTTTATAAATTTTGTGTTTAATACCATGGAATTAACAAAAAACTACTACAAATATTGCAAGTATAATGAATGCTAATTAAAATAATTATTAATAAATAATTGGATAACAGGCCTATGGATTATTGCATTGTGTCATGTAATATTTTCCAGAGGGAAAGGTCTTTTTTTTCCCTAGCAAAAAAAATCCATTTTCTTCTGAAAGAAGTGAACGCATTTATTCTTAGCACAAACCGACATTCTCCACCTAATTAAGCTGTCAACTTTCCATCAGCGTGTTTTAAACCATACCTGGACCAACCACAAAGATAAATTGCACCATGAAATTCAATCCTTAAATGGTCTGTCCAGTAGATGCTTTGATGGAAATGAAAAATAGGGGAGTAAAAAGAAATGAACAGGATGGAGCCAATAAAAAGGATGAAGGAAGGGGGAAATATAGCAACTGGTAAAGAAAGAATATAATAAGAATAATAAGAATAATTATTATTATTACTGTATTAGCACAGAAAAATAAAAACCACAAACATTATTATTATTATTACTACTACTACTACTACTAATAATAATAATTATAATAATAATACCAAGTTCTGGAATGAAACTCTAGATGGCGCAGGCTGATAGGTCCTTAACTCAATTTGGTAGTGATCACATTATTATCTACATACCGCAGCTGATTGTTTGCTGTTGCATCAGCAGCCAATGAGCTGCGGCTACACGTTGAAATACCCATAGACAGTATAAGAAGTGAAGCCCATTTTTAGCGATTTTTGAGCACTTCCGTTCCTGACGCGCAGACTCAAACCGACTCAAACTAAGCTTGATGACGTGAGCAACCTGTCTGACAGACGTAAATCTTCTAGTAGTTGTGCGTGAAAATTGCCAACGTTAATCTTGCAGAGACGGGGAACTTGAGCAAAGAGTTCTTTGGCGTGAGTGAGCAGGAGTAAGTATTCCGTTGCTTTTATGGACTCATTATCTATGGGCTTCTCCCTTGACGGGACGTCCCCCCGATTGCCTGCAAGCTTCTCCTCCTGTCTGTACGGTAATTTCTGTACAGCGCGACAGAGAGTCGAGTGGTTATGACGCAATCGTTAGCCTATTTTTACAAAATCTGTTTCTACGGGGCCATAATGTAACATAGAAGGTAATGGAGCCCTTTATACATTGTCGTGTTTCTTTAGAAATAAATAATGGACAAATGGAGTCTTTAAACGCCTCAGATGTAAAGTTATTCGCTGTCAAAGTGACGCCAAAATGAATGGGAGTCAATGGAAATGCTAACGCAAGAGAAGTTCTGCTACAAAATGGCGGCACCCGGCCGGCTTCAACTTCCGGTCGATGGATTACCCCCTTGGAAATACCAGCAGTGTTGCTGTAAGCAGTCTGCAGCGCACTTTCAGAAACCCTCCACCTTCCCCAGCTCCACCTGTATAGATCTGCTACGGGGGGTTATGTGCTGCAGCAGCATGTCTTACATGCTCACAGCGATGTCTGTGAATGTACTGGCAGTAGCAAGTCCCGGTACTTGCTCTGCAGCAGCAGCAGCCAAGACCAAATACATTAACATTGACATATCCATTAGCATTACCATGCTAATCTCTCCGAGATTACTACTAGTAAACTAGTAAATTACAACTAGTTTATCTCCGAGATAAACTACTACTGTTACTGTAGGGGCACAGAAAAATATAAACCGCAAAAAGCTTTTACTACTACTAATTATTATTGCTAAAAATAATAAAAATTAAAACAATTTTTTAAAAATTGTGTGCTGCATTTTTTATTTTATTTTACTTTACCAAGAGGCTAAAATAACTTAAAAAGCTGAGTGTATTGGCATCTTTGTCTCTTAGGAACAGGCAAAAGTGTGAGATTAAACAAAGACAATCAATTCTAATTACCATACCATCATAAATCGTAGGGCACAAGCCCTGCAGGAAAATCTTCTATTGTTGAACTGACTAAAGTCAGTTTCTCACGAGAACATGACATTTTGACAGTTTCAAGAGAGTGAAAAAAAAATCTATTGATGAGCTAAAGTTGCACTCCTGAAATATTAGTCATATGCCTAAATATGCAGTGATTATGATAATTATGGTAATTATTTGAGTACTATTGGTATGTGTAGTCAAAATAAAGCTTCCAACAGGGACACATCCAACTTTAAAGGGTGTGATATGTGATCCTCCGAGCATCAGATTATTCATATACGCTCCGTGGAGAAGAGGCTGCACTGGTCTTTCCAAATGTTCTGTAATCAGGAGAAATCAATAGGTTTCAGAGCACTTTGCCTCAGATTTATCTCCATCTCCTGACAGCTGCTGTGTCCGTC